ACCCAATCCATCCATCCATCCATCCATCCATCCATCCATCCATCCATCCATCCATCCATCCATCCATCCATCCATCCATCCATCCATCCATTATTTTTTACCCGCTTCTTCCTTTTCGGGTCACTGGTGCCTATGTCCAGCTGTGAGAGGCGAGGGACACCCTGGACAGGTTGCAACTCCATCATAGAGCCACATAGAGGTAAATGAGACAAATAACCATTCACTCTGACTCTCTTAAAGTACCCAATCAGCCAAACATGCATGTTTTTGGTCTGTGGGAGGACACCCAGGAAAACCTTGTATGCATGGAAAGAACATGCAAACTCCACCCAGACAGGTCCCGGGCCAGGATTTGAACTGGCGACCCTCTCGCTGAGAGATGGCAGCTCTACCAAACGTGCTGCCACAATTAGCCCATTTATTAGCCAAATGCTCCTTCATCTGTTTCTTACTTGAATCACTTGCTTTTATAAACAATTTGGCTTCACAATGGTAAAAAGTTGTCCTTTCTTTTAAGAGGCAAATCACTAAAATTATTATACCGCCAAGTTAAGGTTTGCAGTTCAGCTCTTTGATATAGTTAATGTTAGGAATAAATTAAGAATATTCTTCCAGATATCTGGAGGGGAGGACTCCTGCTGTTGTGTCTCAGTCACCAACTGCTAAGTTTGCACACGATGGGGAAGAATTCAAACTGTGCCATCGCTGGATCAGGAAGACGTGGAGTGCAGAGGCAGACATGAAAGTTGGCCTATTTCATGGTCAGGCTGCCGAGACCGCCGAGGCCTTGAATGGCAACGCATCTACTTTAATGTGACAGACAAGTCCCTAGGCAAAACCCGCAGAGGCGCGGCAGGCAAACGGGCCCAGGTACTTGATGAGTGTGACACCTTCGCCGTCCCGCTGTAGAAATGATGCTGCCGCACGCTCTGCTGCCTCGCTTTAGAATAACACCAAATAAATTCGCCTCTCATCCCGCCTGACGAGGCGTCCCGAGAACCTGTCCTCCCCAGCACTGTTGGGATCACGAATCTCCTTGTAGCCGCTCGCAGGGCTTTGCTCCGATCACTAAGCACTTTGCCTTTGGGACCCACCTGCCGAGGAAAATTGTGGCCGCGCCAGTGGGCGGCTGCGACAGGAGTCGGCAGCAGACACATCCTCTCATCACGACGCTGTTTGCCCAATCATGCGCAGACAGGCGAGTGTGTGTGGCAGCTTCAGAGAGAGAGCCTGAAGGCATCGCGCTGCCTTCCCACATGCACTCACAAATCAAGCAGGCACATCTCTCCCTGACGTCTCTTGCACGCACAGGTAGTGCTGCATGAACACTTGACCTTACCTAGTACTATTACTGTGGGCTACAAAGTGTGGTGTTAAGCGCAACCTTTCTTCTATATTGGCCTATTAGGAGCCACAGGGTGCTCTGATGGAGTGAGCATGCCTATGCATGTGTGCGCCTAAGCATGCTGGTGAGCATGAGCTGATCTATTGCAGTCCTGGGATAAGAAGGCCCAGGAGTTCATTAGGCTGCAGCTCAGGAGAGCAGCCGCAGGGAGCTGTGCTGGAGCCAAGTGTTGCCAGGAGGCTGAGCTGCAGGTCCAGTGGGGAGAGCTGCTGTTGATGTCCATGGCGTGTTTGCTAACAGCCTGATTCGATCAAGTGGTGTAAAAGCAGTGCAGCCAAGTGCGAGCGCTGACCCTTGGCCCTTTTCTTATTTTTAACAACACAGCGCATCAGTCAAAGGTAGACAGTTGAGTCGAGCACTTGTGGAGTGCAAATGATGCTAATATTCATGCAGTCGTACATTTGGGATAAAAAATAACGAGACATGCGAAGCAAAAGAGCACAAGACTCCATCTGACTATCTGCAGTTACTTTCACTTATATGCCCTTTATCTTGAGGGCGAAGATCTAAAATGCACTCTCAGTTTTCATCTCCATACTCCCACAACCCTTGTAAATGCATCTGAGGAGCTGAATACTACAAAATATTTAATTCTCTTGAAGAGACATGAAAAATGAAGCTCAAGGCGTTTCAGTGGACATTCGAGAGAGGGAAAAAAAAAACTATGCAGAAAATATAACAAATCCCGCCAAAAACATGCGTTAAAAACTATTTTATTAAAGAGTCTTGTGAGTAAATTCTTTCTTCCCAGTCCATGTTCTGTGACAATAATAAAACAAAAAACAATCCTGAGAATAGTTGTGATTCATAAGAGGTGTGGATTGCACAGACGCTACCCATATTTCATCATTTATTACACAGCAAAAAATATGACTCTCAAGCAGGCAAAATAACGACAGGCAGAAGACACGCCAAGAGTGCTGGGCTCCATTCCAAACAGGCATTTAGCATTTTACCTTTATCTCTCACAGGTCTACACGTAAAACAGGGAGTTAAAGCGTTTCTTCGCTGCAGGGTCCTTCACGTTGACTCGGCCATATGGACACTAGAGGAGAAAACAAAATAAATAAATGGTACTCATTGGCTTCTCGTAGTTTTATTCACACAGAGAATGAGACATTAACATTAAAAAAAAGTGTACTGTAGGAGAAAAACTAAAAGGAAAGACAAGAACGAGACAGAGTCAAGACTCTACAGGAGAGGAGAAGGGACTGAATGGGATGAGATGGACCACCAGTCAAAGCAGAGGTGGCCAAGGGTTCTAGCGATAAGATTAGTTAAGATAAGATAAGATAAAACTTTATTGTCTACCGCAGTTCCACAATTGTGGCAGAAATTCTCCTTTGCTCTACATTCATCATACATACACAAGAACCACTAACAAAACATAATAAAGAACCGCATTATCACCATTAAGATGTGTTTAAGTAGCTTTATTTAACATTACTGCTCATGGTACAAATGATTTCTTATAAATATTCTTCCTGGCCAGCAGGACTTGGTAACGCCTGTTTGATGGAAGCATCTGAAGCAGTTGTGAAGTAGTGGATGTGAGGGGTCCTCGGTGATCAGGGTGGCTTTCTTGGTCACTGAGCGGCTCTGACAGGGGGCACTGAGGTGAGCCACTCATCGCACTTGATTGTTTAAATATTCTGTATAATTTAGCTTTAAACGTTTTAAAATCTGGCGTTCATATTTTTCGGACTATAAGGCGTAATATCCGTGAACAGGTCTGTTTTCATACGACGGAGCTTTAGGGTCACGCTAAGAAAAAATAATAAAAGCCATAAAATTACAAGAATAAAGTCCTAGTATTACGAGAATAAAGTCAAATAAAGTCTTAATAGTACGAGAATAAGGTCGTACGAGACGTTTTTTTTATTTTTACAGCTCTTGTTTATTTATTTATTTTTTTTCCACGAGTCAGATCCACTACGCAACCTGTCAATCAATCCAGTAGGCGTGTCAGCAAAATGACCCATCCGAAGCTAAATGCTGCTTACCTGCAGAGAGCTGTGCTGCAGCCCATGAGAGTGTACCACCTTACTGTAAGCAGGTAAGCTGAGCATTGATAATTTTGTCCTTAAACATTGTATAACAGCAAAGCTACATTGTGTTGCATACGTTACACAGTACGTAGGCCTTCTGATGGGCTGCAGCACAGCTCTCTGCAGGTAAGGAGCATTCAGCTTCGGATTGGTCGTTTGATGACACGCCTACTGGATTGATTGACAGGTCGCGTTGTGGATCCGACTCATGGAATAAATAAATAAATAAACGAGAGCTGTTACCAAAAAAGTCTTGTATTTTTTTTCATTTAACCTTTATTTATACAGGTAGTCTCATTGAGCCACGAGAACTCATTTTCAAGAGAGACTTGTTTAGGGAGCAGATGGTGGGGGTTAAGGGCCTTGCTCAGGGGCCCAGGGTGGGGCAAATGAGGGTGGAGGGAGGTGTGGGTGTTCCACCTAATCCACCCACATTTTCATGTTGACGGTACCGGGAGTTAAACCTGCAACTTTCCGATCACAGGCCCATCTTCTAACCTCTGCGCCACAGACTTTACTCGACTTTATTCTCATAATTTTATGGTTTTTATTTTTTTTTCTTAGCATGGCCCTAAAGCTCCGTCATCGTTTTTATACATAAGGCACATTAAGCGAAACGAAACAGTCAGATGATCCATCCATCCATCCATTTTCTTTACCCGTTTATTCCATTTTGGGTCACGGGGGTCGCTGGTGCCCATGTCCAGCAATCACTGTGCGAGGGGCGGGGTACACCCTGGACGGGTCGCAAGTCCATCACAGGGCCACATAGAG